GAGCATAAATATAATTATTTATTTAAAATATGATCCAACACGCTACATAAGACAAAACAAGAGCTGAAAACTTCAATATAATTATTTGAATTAAATTGAATTAAAGTACTAAACTCTGTTCCATCTTCAAGCGAATTTTTTTTGAATCCAATAAATAATTATATATATATATATATATATATATATATATATATATATATATATATATATAGAGACAAGAACAAATGGATTAAAATTCCACTGTTCGTAGCATTTACTTTTAAAAAAGTACTCAATGTAAAGTAATATATTATTACTATTATTATTATTATTATTATTATTATTAGAGATTATAATAAAAACATGTTGAAATCACCGCATAAAAGCTTTCATGTTTCAATATTATGAGTGTACTTCATCAGGCGATGGTAAATAACTGGTGATTAAATGATTTTTAAGAAAATTTCAAAAGTAAAGAGTTACCTCTTTTCCGAAAGATAAATGGGGAACATAATGCCAGAATTAAAAATCGACTTGTGGGTATGTCTTGATTTACCAATTAAATGTCAGATCGTCGTTAAATAGAAAAGTAAGCTCAGAGAATGGATGTAGAAGAGTTATTTTTTAGTTCCATGATAAGCCGGAACATACACAGGCCATCATTCATAGTTGAGGAAAATATGTCAGAGACAAATGTATCGTGATGGTAGACAAATACGACATGTTCAGTTTTTGAAAAGATATTGAGGGGAGGCGTAGGCGGGTAATCAGACGTAAAGTTAATTTCAACAGAATTTTTTTTAAATTTTGGATTCAGGAAGATTCTTAAATGGGCCTGTAGAAAAAATTAAAGATGTGGAGGATCTATATATTAATAATACTAAGTGGACGGCTATACATAGCAATATTAAAGCTTAATAAACAAAGTAAGATAATTACTCGTTGAGGGTGGACCATTATTCACCAATAAATTATGACTATAAGAAATGGTAATACGTATTTTTCACAAATTTAACTATATTTTAAGGTAAACGATAAACTTTGTCGGCAATTTACAGTTAATTCACTCCTTTGGTATAACGGGTTTTTTGTTAGAAAATTTGATAATTTCTAGTTTTTCATGTAAACATAAAAAGCACGGTTCATTTAAAAGATTACAATTTCTATTTTTTCTCCATCTTACCGTAGGGTTTTTATTAACTTGTTTTAAGTTCCAAAAATATTTAGAAACTGACTCCCTCTTTCTCTACGCGTTATTGCAAGAAAGATAATATATGTTGGTACCGCCTTGTTTTAAAGGAATTTTTGGTACTGCTGATATAAATTTTTGTATTTATTCGATTTTCTATAATAAAAATATTGATTAGGGAAACAAGAGAATCTTTTTTAGATCTGTTTTGCAATGGACATTCATTAGAATTTCTACAATTACACTTGTTAGTATTATCAGCATTAGCTGCTTTGGAATGGCTATTATTACTTAGGCTTTTGTAGTGATTTAAATTTTTGTACTATGTTTCTTCTTATTTTTTTTTAATATTATCGGTACAGTGTATTTCTGTTATAAGTCTTACTAAGTAGATTATTTCCGGGGAAGTGTTTCTCATTTAAATGGAGAAACTTCTGCTCAAACAGTACTAACAATTGGTTAAATGGGAGGGGTGTACCATTATCCATTATGGAATTTTTTTGCTTTATGCCTTCGTTTGTTAATACAGAACATTACGAAAACTAGACACATGTAGAAATTACAAAAATACTTGTTTACGTATAACGGTTATTGTTCTGATCAACTTTCTTTTGTAATACTTATGTTTTAATAATTAAAGTGTAGTACTAGATTGGCAACTAGGTCTCATTATTTTACAGTTGAAATGGCTAGTAAATAATGTTTATATATGTACAATATATATATTCCAAAGGTTGTCACAACCGGAGGTGATAGTGGGGATAAGCTTCCACAGTCTGCAAAATGCTTTCGTGACATGCGTCTCAAATAGCCAACTAAATCCAGCTCAAATGGGCGAAGGCTGAAAACTAGCACTTCATAACAAGCTACTTCGGGTAAATGGAGCTCGATTGCCAAGGAAGGCAGTCCACCTAAGGAATGAAATACCCTGATTTTGAACCCAGGCTGTCTTGCAGTCATATCCACATATGGTAATGGCTCTGGACGTAAATTCAGTCAACAAACCCAGAGAGGGGATCTGAAGGCGGTTGGCTGTCAACACTGACAACAATCGAGCAACTCCTGCAACTAAGCCCCCCCCAAATGTAATGCCCTATATGGCTTTGGATCTTGTCAGTAAGTTCAAGAGTGGAGGTGGCATATAGTCTGAGCAGCGCACGACCTCCATATACTATCGCCCAGGTAACATTAAGGGGTCATTCCAGTTTCACCCCCTAAAGGAGTGAATTTTGAACAAGCAGGTTGCTGCTTTTATCTCTTGCAATAAACTGAAGCCTACAATGTTTTGGTTTGGTTTGGTTTGTTTTACGACATATCAACCTTAGTGGGTTATTTAATGACGACAAAATTTTTATTGCTGGTAATAGTTTTTCCTTCAAAAATCTATTTGTGGTAATATTTTTCTTCAAACATGTATCGCGGGTAATTTTTTCTTTCATCAAAAATGTATAGTTGGTAACATTTTCTTTTAAAAAATGTATTGCTGCTAATATTTTTTTTTTCCAAAAACATATTGCTGGTAATGTTTTTTTTTTTTTAAATGTATTGCTGGTAATAATTTTTTTACGAAGTATTTCTGGTATTAAAACCTATTTTTACACTTTCATAATGTGTTGACTCTAGTTTGGGGGTTATCTATTTACCCATAGTTGGAAATCTAACAAGTGCTACCACCAGGTAGTTCCACTCTCCTCAAAACCTTCTAATCAGAGGCCTTGCTATTGTACGTAGTTTATCGTCTTACCCAGGACGCGAATGTAGTTTATCGTAATACCCATGACAGGGAAACTTATAATATTCTTCTATTCTTTAATTCCTCACAACCACCTTTATTTTTTTTATATATTTCTGAACTGCGCGTAGTATGACGCAATGGTAAGTAGGGATAAATTAATGTAAGATGATGGCCTCATACAAATTATTCAATTCGAAACGTCTTGCAAATTGAGAATTTTAATAAAAATTAATTTCCTTATTCATCCCTGAACAGCAAATCATTTTTTTATTAATATATTTTTCTCGTTGCTCGCTTACCGTTATATAATCGTATATAGTACGAGTTTTTATAATCATTTTCTTACATCAAGAATACGCGGTCATACCATACACAAGTAATTCCTTGAGCATTTTCGGTCACCGGTTGCATGGGTAATATTTTTCTGGCGGGGTTAAAATTAATGCAATTAAATAAAATTAATTCAGGTAAAATTAATGCAAAATAATTCTGTGATCACGCTATGCATAAAGTCGGCTTATACAAGAATATATATCGAATGCTACTATTTCGTTTTGTTTTGTTTGCTTCTTTTAGTTTTTCTTTAGTGCTAACATTTATGTTTCTTATTTTCGATACTTTTATTCCTCACCTGCTTTTAGTTCTACATTTTTGGTTTCTATTTTCGTATTAAAAGAATATCCTTGAAACTTATTTTATCCTTTGGCCACCAGCTTCTCGTGTGTCTCCAGAGTCACGAAAAGACGAATATTATTTTTTTTTACGTGCCGTCTTTGATATATAGACAGAGACAAAACCGGAGCGCTGAACACTGCCGAGGTCTTTATCCGGCTTGTTCGACATTGAATCAACGCATAGAAATCCATGACACTTTCCTATCCCATAATATTTATTTCTAAACTTGCTTCGGCTTTTAATGCACACTTCACTTCTATGCAGCCATGACATTGGCGCCATTCTTAGGTTAGTATTCACAGAACTCCGACATCTTAAAAGGATGACCGTGGCATCTAATGGCTAGCTCATAAGATATACAAGATTCGAAAATGGACAGAGATGTTGCTAAAAAAAATTGTTTTATGATTTGGATTTTTTTCGGAATTCAGCGGATGCTTATGTTTCCATATTTCCTTTTTCTGTCACCAGGGGGGCTCTAATCTGAATTCTCGACCATGCTACAATGCTATTTACCATTAAAAATGAAAACGCATAGATGACATATGTTAGATCTGGAGGCAATATAGCAAACAGGTTATAGGCATAAACTATCGCAGTCCTAATCAGCGGGAATACGGTCTAGAATAATCATATTGTCCAAATATGCATGAGGAGAAAACTGACAAGCACTTTAGTCTCATAAACCAACGTCCATATGTACATAATTCTTTTACCGTGTTTGCGTATCGAATACGAAAAGAGGTTAGGAAATATATAATTCTGGCCAGCTGGTCGTAAAAAGCATACACTTTCCATTTGTTCTGTCATGCATTTGTTGTATTCTTTGGGAATTTTGCCTTATATTTATTCTTCCATCTTATCAGCAATTTTAAGAATCGTAACTAAAGGATAGTATCATTTGTTAAATAACTGTCTTTTGCCAGTTGATTTATAAAATTACTTTTTGTATTTATAGCTCAGGTTTTCGTGTGCTTAAAATAGGGGAATAGAAAATAAAATTGAATTAGAAACAAATTAATTCTATCATCTCTAATTGGTTCTCTGAAATTCAGTCAATCTAATCTATGGAGAGTAAATAATGTTTTCTCTGCCTTACGTATCTCCTAGTGATACTATAGAACTATATTGAAGTAAATGGGGAAATTTGGGATTTCAAATATTAGTATTTAAAATAAGCAATACTTTGAAACTTGAAATGCTGTTATAAAACAATATTCCTTCGCACTGTCTTGACCCTGTCTCAGATAAACTTTCATAAATGTTGATAACTCCAGTTATCTTTAATATCTCACATGATTTTCTTTGTACTTCAAATCTTGATCATCTTTTTCCATCTAATAAGAGTTAGGATATAAATCGAATATTTTGTGATAGGTTTGTTAGAATTATTGATAAGCCTAAAAATTTACTTTTTTCTTA